GATGGAAAAATAATAAAACTTTGAATTTCGAACATTCGAAAAAATTATTTTTTTTTGCAGCAAATCTTTGTTTTATGATAAAAGAAAATTTTTTATCAAGTTGCGTCCTTATTGAAAAAAGTTAACTTGTATTGACATTGAATGACCGATTAATAAAAATTTTATTTCAAAATTTAATTTTAAAAGTTTTTTTTTTTAAGCAACGCTGCTTACAATATAAGCTCTAATTTTCTAATTTTTCTTCTTCCCGTGACCCATTTATCGATTGTTATATAACCTTATCCTTATCATTATCATTTATAAATAATATATACACGAGTCTAAAATAATCTACTCCCCACGAAGGGATGGAAATTATATAAATATTAAAATATATAAATTAATTATAGTGAAACTGGAATTAAAAAAATAGTTTATTTTTTTAACAAAGAATTCACTGATATTACTTAATTATTTTATTTAAAAACTTAAAATTTTTTTCTGATTTTTAAAAATTAAATATTATTTTTTGTAAACTCAATCAATTATGTAATTTCACAAAAATAAAATATATTTAATGAAAAAATAAATGTTATTTTCACATTTTAGATATATACGAATTCCATATAGACGGTTTGATAAATAATTCATGGCGTTCTACGAAATACCAGTGAAATTAAAAAAAATATTTTGCTATTCAAGAAGATAACAGCAATAAAAGCATGTAATCGTGAAAAACATTCTAAAAATAAATCTTCAATGTTATTATTTAAGAATTTAACTCATACTTTGAATAGTAGGCTGGATAAAAATAGATACGTTTATTTTTAAAACTCACCACTTACTATTTTTAATGTTGCTATTAAGTTATTTGAAGATATAATGAATTTTTTTTATTTTTGCATAGACATATAAACATCTTTGTAATATATATATATATATATATATTTAGAAAAGAAATATATTTTTCAAGGATTTTTATTATCGATTGTGGTTGTTTTATTTTTCTTCATACATAAGAGATGTGTATAAATTTATCAATACCTTCTTGAATGGGTCACAAAGAAAGATAAGTTTTTAAGCGAGCATTAATAAATTTTTTTTTTCTTGCGTAATACTTATTCCCGATTGTAAGTATATCCTCGCATTAAACTACTTTTTTTTAAAGCATAAATAACAATTTACTAACAAAAACTAATAAAAAAGATAACATAATTTAAAAATGAAACAAATTTTGAAATTAAACAGCCAAACTTGTTCAGATAAGATAAAGAAAAATGAAACAAACAACTCGGATAAAAACAATATTTGTTTTTCCTATAATTCTGTTCTATCGCAAGAACAAAAAAAAATGACTCAAAAACTTAAATCAAGTGATTGATCATCAACTCGATCGATGAAACAAAGAGGAAGAGGAAGTATATGGTAAATGACAAAATGTGCTTTATCAAATTTTCATTATCAATCCTATCCATAAAAAATTATATTTAATATCGTCAGCATAACAATTGTTCAAACGTTACCGAGTTAAAAAAATATAATGTTATCTAGATCAAGTTATATACGTATGTTAAGTGTGACCACACTGTACGTTACAATAATTATTCTAATCACAATGGAAATTTATTCGAATTTATTGAGCAAACATACATCACTATTTAAATATTTCGACATATTTAAGTCACTCAAAATTTTTTCATTTCATCTTTTATTTTTCGATGTTACGTAACCACTCAATAAATATAAATAAATAATATCAATTATTTACGAGTATATCCAGTAATTCTTTTATTTAATTTTCTTTTTTATATGTATTGACATTTCTTCTTCGACATTTCAATTTCATGAAAACCAAATTATGTCGTTAGTATTTAAATACGTTTTTTGTATATTAATAAATAATTAACTTAAAATTTCATTAAAACGCATAAATAGAATAGAAAAAAAAGTACTCTACAGTTGTATTTATGTTGACAATTAAAACAAATATTTGGTTCAATAAATTTTAGCCGCCATTTTGATGTCGAATGATTTAAAATGGAAACCTTTTTACATTAAAATTTGATTTTATTAATTCTTGTAAGAATTTCAAGTAATTTTTTTAAAAAATACCATTTCTTCTTTTTATTTTCAATCTTTCTTTAATTTTAATTCTTTTTTGACTAATTATTTAACTACTTCGTAGCATTCTAAGGTCATTTCAACATAATAACTTCTATTTAACCTTGAAGATTCAACCGTACTACAATTTTATCAATAGATAGACTAAAAACTAAAAAACTTTATGATAAAATAAGTTTCACCGAGTATAGTTGAATAAAATTACTTGGAGTTTTTATCAACTACAAAAGTTGACTAAAATTGGGTTAATAAAGTTTAATCTAAACGTCCGCCATTTTGAATTCTTCTATGATTAGAGTTGAATTTTTTTACACAAATTTTTTACCAGAAAGTTATCTTCCAACAAATTTACGCTAGTAACTATTTTTGTAGTTATAGAATTAATACATGTATTTATTATTAAACCAGTTCTTTAATTTTTGTTCAACGACAAATTATATTACAACATTGTATTAATATTAAAAAAGCGACGTTCTGTCGAAGAAATAACCTAGAATCAATAAATCAATCATAAATGTAAGTAATAGTTTTTACAATTGAACTAATTTTAATAAAAAAAATTTTTTTTTTCAGCATTGTATCCACAGACCGTAACATTCTACAAATTCATGTCAGTAATTAAATGAATTAAAGTATTGGTACCTACTCTACTTGTCAACACTTGGGTATATATAATGTATGTATAATTATCTAGATATAGCCTAAGATACATCTAGAGAGCTCATTGACTTCACTTGGAAGAAGGACAGCAAATACAGATACAGTTGGAAAATGTGTGTGAATGTATATGCGCACTAGTCGCGTACGAAGAGTTGAAGCGAGTGTCCAAGTCACAAGTAGTTTCCAACTCTGCCCAGTTACACTGCTCATCAACTCGATGACCTACGGAATACATGTATTATTACATTGTATTATATGTAGGTAGATGTATGTCTGTATGGATGCAAGTATGTATATGTACATCTGGTAAACACAGCAGATAGAGGACAACCCTACTATACCAAAACCTGCCTTGGATTATAGCAACTGGATACCTATTTTGATACCGTACAACTTGACTCTTCAATGAATGATCGTGGTAACAATAGCTTCTTTATATATATATATTATTTATTTGAGTTAGTCGTTATCTGTGATTAAATTCCTAAAATGTTATCACACCGACCCTATAAATTCAAACCTTAAAACTACATAACCACCATCCAATTTAAAATGATTAAACGGATAAAAAGTGATACGTTGGAATAAAGGAAATAAATTTAACTTTTATTTCTTATTTTTCAGGTAATATACGCTGAGTAAAATATATATATATATACGATGACAGTCCTTGAATTTTACACGAAAAGCCTCGGGAAAGCCATGGTAGAAGCTTGCGTGCGTTTAAACTTCATATTGAATGATTACGTCGAAATTGCGTGGGGCTGAAAAACTTTTTTATGTAGGTCGTAGGAGTAAGGAAAAAAAAATAATAAAACAAAAGTACAAAGACGTCTATTTAAATGAAAAGTAAATATAAATAACAAAGGTAACTATTTTAAATGTCGAATGTAGGTAACTAATTGTTTGAAGAACAGAGAATGATGCTCAGTTCTTTGATAAAGATGGATGTAATTATTATTTTAACTATAATTATAAAAAAAAAAAAAATAATAATAACGTAGTAAATGGAGTATTAAATATTGTCTTGTGATTTTTTTGCTACAGATGATAGAGTTGATAACACGAATGTACACAGCTAGGAGCAATGTGTATATTTAATTATGCCATGGATGAAGCTATAAAGAGCATAACAGACATATAAAACGTGTGTGTATTAATATGGTGGCAAAAGTTGTCAGAGTGTTGAGTAAAGTACATAGACATAGTATGAAAGAGTCTCTCTGTGCTGTGTGTGCTGTGTGCTCTGTACTCTGTTCTCAGTACTCTGGCATAGAACGACGACATGAAGCAAATCGATTGCGTGGCAGAACTCTGTAGAGAAATAGTGTAAGCGTTTGATTATACATCCATGCATGCATATTGGTCTCTACACTACTACTACTACTAATTCTACTGCTGATAACGCTTAGCATTTGTCATTCCGCAGGTAGGAACATCGTAGCGTATCGGCGTTCGCAGCTAATATATACACGGACATATATATATATATATATATATATTTATTTATTTGTGTATGTGTATTTATATTATTACAGTGTAAGACATGTTGGAGCATGAGAGCCCCTGATATTGCGAATATCCACATCTTTGTTGCACACCCACGCCCACGTACTTTATCTTTATCGTGTAGCTGTGTCTTTTTGAGTGTGTTGATGGAGAAGGACGCCGACGGCGACGGCGTCGAGGATGGTATTGAGAGCGGCGGCGAGGAGACTGAGGAGAACGGGGACTGAAAAGATCGGAACTCTACGGCCGGTCAGTAGCTCCCTGGCAGTCGGAGTGCGCGGCTGTTTCAAGTCAACCAACTTGTTGATAGTGATGATAAGTTTAGGATTTAAAAAACGTTGACTACCTGGTTGTCTATTATAAGATACTTTTTAATATAATATTTTTTTAAGGTGACAACTTATAAGTTATCTGTTTTATTTTCAGTGGTTTTAATATTTTTATAAAAAAATATATATATATTATTTATAAATAAATGATAAGTTTTAAAAAGTTTGAAGATACTGAAGGAAGGAAGAAACGAGGATAGTGATTTATCATGCCGAGTACTCGCGAGCAGATCGATTCAGCCGAGTAGTCGAGGACATGAAAATCGCGACGCCTGGACGTCGAGTTAAATTTCACCAGTGTCTATCCGTTGCCACGCCCGCGATAACACTGTCATTAAATCCGATGACAAATGGACCGTGGATGGACACGGGTGGGCCGATGTGGAGACATACTGTCGGTGGATGAACAATTCTAATAGGTAAGTAATATCGATACCAGTAGCATGATACTCATAAATCACAAGTCATAGCAATAATATAGATTGCTGTTGATGATGATGATGATGATGATGATGCTAATAATTATTATTGACAATTGTTATTTCAATTATAATTATATAATTACCATTATGCTATTAGTATGCATGACATGACAACTGTATAATAGATAATGATATTGGTGTTATTGTAATCAGGTTAACGTTTAAATTGACACTCGGCCGAGTTGATGCAAACGAGCAGGTTGGAGAGCCGTTGGATGGAGCGATGAGCGCTGCCCCCACCCGGGGCCAATCGCCCCGACGTCAGAGACGCCACCGACATCGTCATCGTCACCACCAGCATCGACGCCGGCATCATCACCTGAAGAACAATAATAATAATAATAATAATAACCACAATAACAACCACCCGCACGACAACAACGACCACGACGGCGCATTTCACGAACAGTGTCGGTACTCCTCAGACTGCCCGGAAACTCAAGTGGATACTCTTGGTGTTGAAAATTGTAAACAACCTTACGAGGAAGGTGAAACACGTCCGAAAGTAAATCCGATTTTTCTCTGGGCTTTGCAGCGAGAACAAAAAATAGTTGAAGTACGCTGTGAAGATTATGATAAGAGGAACAGAATAAAACTTACTAAAACTCCTTTCGGGTGGAGGTCAATACCAAGAACTTCTTCGAGTATTTATAATTCTTGTCGATGTTCTAGTGGATCCAATTACTCTGTCAATAAAGATAAGCCTGCGTCCTCTTCGCCTTCAATCACTTCGAGCTGTGTACCCTGTTCGATGTCGTTGAAAAGTTCGTCATCCTCGCCCTCGTCTTACTCGGAGTCAACCTCATTTTCCTCCAGGTCATCAACGTCTTACATGCCGAGTAAAAGTAAAGACACGTGTGTGGTTCCGGAAGTCAGAAGAAAAGAATCTAAACGATGTCTTGCTGTCAGATCTCATTATCACGATCGAGTTTCAGATGACGAGAGTGACGCTACTCGAAGTTCGTGTAGAAACTCGAGGATAAGTTTTGATTTATCCTACGACGATCACAACCACGAAGAAGAAACTGACGATCGAGATGACGATTACGAGGAACGTGAGAGGTTTGACGATCACGATGTTCATGATGGTGATTACGAGTATGAAGATACACAGCATGAGAATTCGAAATTTCTTACTCTTTCCTGTGGGAGAACAACACTTGGGTTAATTGATTTAGAAGAAGTGCAAAAAGATTCGTTGCTTCAGCCGCGTGTTGTTTTGGAACCACTTAATCCCGCAAGATATCGGTTTAGTAGTTTGATTGAGAATTCCAAGTTGAACGATGACATTGAGATGGTGGTGGAGGATGACGAAGTGGTAGACCAGCAGATAGAAAGTGTTAAAGATATTAATAAAGACAATAAAAGTAAAAATAGTACTGAGGGTGGTAAAATTGATGTTAATTCTGTTTCTGTTTCTGTTTCGGTAGTGAGGGCTGAGGACACTGAGGAAGAAATAGAAGAAATAGAGGACGATATTAAAGATAACGAGGAGCTTGATGATGAAAACGCTACGGTATTTGAGTACGACGATCGTGATTCTGTGGAGATGATGGACGACGAAGAGCTTCACGAGCGCGATGACGACGTACTTGGTCCGGATGATAAGCTTCCGGAGACTGGATTTTACCAAGTTGCGAGAAATGTTCCGACGAATAAAGTACCAGAGACCTGTCTCGAAGACGACATTGTTGAGGAAGAGATCGACGAAGTGCAAGAGGATGTTAAGATTATTAACCACAAACCACGAGTACCTGGAAGCATTCCTCTGCCGGATCTTAAGCCTATTAATGACTCTCTTGACAAGCCCCGTTTTCCTAAAACGTTGCAGATAACTCGAACGTGCTCGCAACAAGTACCTCCGAGTCCTCCGTGCTCTGTGACCTGCTCCGAAGACGCGTCGCGGCCAGACCTGGTGAGAAATGTGACGCCTTCGGTACCTGAGAAGCGCCGGCGTGAAGCTCCGGATTTAATTGAAGTCAAGCCGACCGAATGGAAAAGACGAGAAGCTCCGAAACCAGCTAATCAACTCAGGGAATTAATAAGAAAATCCGGTGGATCTATTCCGGATCCTCTTCTCGTCCCACGAGATCGGCTGTCGAGTCTAGCTGCCGCGCCGGCGATAGAAATACCCAGGTTGCTTATCACCAGGCCAGAGTTAAGACTTCCTGAGGCTTTGTCTCATCCTGAACTTCTATCCGATCCCGATATATTAGTAATCTCACTGTCGCATCTCCAGCAAGTGTTGGATGCTGTTCCTGATTCCCGTTACCGTGTGCCAGAAGATAAAAATTTTAAGTCTGATAATCGTTATCAGCAGGGGTACCAGCAGCAACTTTACAACCACCAGCATAGTTACAGTAGTAGTAATAATAATAATAATAATAATAATAATAATAATAATAATAATAATAACAAAAATCAAAATTCCTACTCCTTGCTACCGACTAATTCTGAGAAGAAAAGATTGTCTTGCAAGCCAATAGGAAGTCTGATGCCAGCACCAATGGACTTGTCCCGACACTCGTCCTCGTCTGTAACTCCAGGCCAAAATTCCATTCTGAGGGTACGGAGTGGCCTTCTCAGACAGGAATCTGAAGTAACATCAACAGCACGAATTCCTGGGGACGATTCACGTTTATGGCATCCACTTTTTGGCTGCAGGTATTATTATTATTCATTATCATTACTACAACTAATTACAGTAATTACAGGTCTTTCCATATGTTTATACAATAATTTACAAAGTATATTGCTATAAAGAATTATGTAGAATGAAGAACGCGTGCGCAACATGAGGAAAGTTAGCCTGGCTCGATCGATTCCCCTCTTTCTCTTTCTCAAAACCCTCTACCCTCTACATCTACTTCGAACTCTATAACACAACATACACTAGTGGCTGCACAGGAGCTTTCATACTCAGCTTGAGGCTAAATATTCCACCTCTCTGTCTATATACAACTGTGCTTCATCAACCCTCTCTGTATATTACATACTATGTCTTTCTTCTTCTTCTTTCTTAAACTTTCTGCAACTGATACCTGTCTACTTTCCTTGTCGTATCTCTCCTCCCTAGAGATTTTTATCCAGGGGATGGGAGTAAGGATAGGGATCGAGCGTAACGCTTCATTCAGACATATATACTAATATACTTTAGGAGTTTGTCATCAATGTTATCCGGATGTACTGCAGATGTCTTCGTTTACGTGTAGACAATGTTTTATTATTTTTAGTTTAAAAGTCTTGAACAAAGACTATATAGCTATAGACTACTTACTACCCAGTAAGGAAAAAGTTCGATCGGCAATTTATGTTTCATGTTTTCCAGGGTTCCCTCGAACATCATTTATATTTAACGTTAACGTACAATACAACTAACAGCTATAGCTTGCAATGTTAAAGTTCACACGGTTGCTTTGTTATACAAAACTTTAGCTTCTTTGTTTTCTTTCAAGGCTTTATGAATATTTTATTTTTGAGGAATAGCTAATAGGATTTATTCATATTTTATTAATACTTTGTAATAGATCAAAGAGCGTTAACTTTAGTCTACTAGTTTATACTTTTGTTAAAAGCTTGCACAATAAAATTTTTTTAGGGTAAATACCCCAATAGATGGACGGTTAATTAAGCAAACTCTCGTGTTCTATTAAAAAAAAAAAAAAACAATATAGTAATATACAGACAATCATGGACATTAATTTAAGTATGTTTTTAAGTTTACTGGAAAATAGCCATTTGTAAACTCGGACGTTTATGAACTATAAATTTGAAAATTAGTTGATAATGTCATTTGTAAAGTTAGTCGCAAATAAAAAATGATATTAATGAAATTAGCGAAATGGAAATTTCACCAAATATAAATTCAGTCATTTATAAAATAGCGAAAAACAAAAATCTGTAGCTACGTGAATTTAGCCAATTCTTACTGCAGAAACTTATAAAATTAGCCGATTGTAAACTTTACGGATTGTAAAATTAGCCGTTTTTAAACTTTTTATAACTTTTGAATAGGTCGGTCGAATCTGCTCTAATTTTCAGAAAAACTAAATTTATGAAAGTCCTTTTAGTAAATTCCTCAAATCATTTTTTGATCCGTCGATTCATTCAAGAATTACGAGAGATTTAGAAACAGATAATTTTACAATTCACAAAGTTTACAATCGGGTAATTTTATAAGTTTATGCAGTAAAAATTTAATAAATTCTTTACGGATTGTAAAATTAGCCGTTTTTAAACTTTTTATAACTTTTGAATAGGTCGGTCGAATCTGCTCTAATTTTCAGAAAAACTAAATTTATGAAAGTCCTTTTAGTAAATTCCTCAAATCATTTTTTGATCCGTCGATTCATTCAAGAATTACGAGAGATTTAGAAACAGATAATTTTACAATTCACAAAGTTTACAATCGGGTAATTTTATAAGTTTCTGCAGTAAGAATTGGCTAAATTCACATAGCCACAAATTATTGTTTTCCGCTATTTTATAAATGACTGCATTTATATTTGGTGAAATTTCCATTTCGCTAATTTCATTAATATCATTTTTTATTTGCGACTAATTTTACAAATGACATTATCAACTAATTTTCATATTTATAGTTTATAAACGTTCGAGTTTACAAATGGCTATTTTCCAGTAAACTTAAAAACATACTTAAATTAATGTCCACGATTGGATAAGTTGTGATAAAGTAAATTATATTTATGTAAAAATATATAATTAACCGGGAAAAAATAAGTAAAACTTCGTAAAACGTTGTAGTAATTAATAAAAAAGAAAAATGTAAGAAAAAGTCCAGAATAGGTCTGTTCTCTTTTGCTTTTAAATTTCCTTCGCTCAATTTTCTCTTTTATTCAGCGTTTTCTTTTTTCTCTTCAATTTCTTCAATACTCATAATAATACTTCCATTTTCAGTACATGTCTGTTTATTATAATCTTTACTCTTATTCTCACGTTGATCCGCCAAAATTAAAAAAAAAAAATAAGAAAATTCGTCATATAAACTCAATGTCCATCTATTGGATAGAGGTCAGAAAAGTATCACCAATAGATGGACACTAAACTTTATTATTTTTTTTCGATTTTATCATTAAAATATTATATTTCTAGCTTTGTTAGTGAAATATAAGCGTAATCAAATGTAAAAATCTTACTTTTTTTTTATTATTTTTAATAATAATAACAAATAACGTCCGCCAGCTATCTGTCACATGCTTACTAGTGGTGGCGCTCTCGGAGGAGAACCTCGAGATGTCCAATTTAAATAATTTTTTTAAACTATTATTTTAAATAAAAAGTTAAAAAAAATTACTTTTCGCTCTCAGAACTATATGTGATCATGAAAAAAAATAACGACTTAAGATTTTTGTTCTTAAAACTAATGTAATTGCTTCTGGAAATAATATTTGTCCATTTATTGGGGGGTGTCCATCTATTGGGGTATTTACCTAATCAATTTTTATTTTTTTTAGGCAAAAAAATCCAGACAAAAGTACTGCTAAGCTGCACCAACCCCAAGACGACAGACTTCATGCTGGTAATTATCAACAGCAATCTCAAGAGACTTCTTCCCATAGAGTGTCTTGGCACAGAACAACTTTGGCGTCCTGACGGTTAATGGATAATAATTTTATAAATAATAAACAGCCTGCTAATAAGACAAAGAGAGCCAGTCAAACTCAAGTGCAATAGTAGTCAAAAAAATAAATATGATAATGATGATGATGATGATGATGATGATGATAATTGTAGTGCAATACAATACAAAATACAATATAATAGTGCGTGTGTGGTGAATAAGAATTAATAAATCAAAGGGAGATTATGTTATCTTGATTAATTTGACTATCACGGATTTTTATTTGATATAAATTATTATGTATAATATTCTATATAATATATTGTATAGCATGGTTTTATTTTTCACTTACTGTCACTTAAAAGGCTCCCGTGTAACCCACGCGGTAATAGTAAATCGTTAACTCTTAAGAGAGTAGTTGCGTGCTGGGATTTACCGGAGAGTATCGATTTCGGTGCATTGACCCACCGGAATGAAATAAGAGAATGTAATACAATATACAATACCCGCAGAACTGATAGAAAAATATTTATATCAGTAAGACTTTAAGTTTCTTACTTAAAAGTTAATAACACTGTTTTTTATTATTTTAATTAATCCCTTTGTCGATTGCAGGCCTGCGTTAACCAAATGCATATATTAGCGTAGCTTAATCAGTAAATAATTGTATATTAATTAGTTAATTAATCAATTATATTAGTTATTAATTGATTGATTTATTATATTCGATTTCTATTCCAGACTATTTATATCTAAGGGCGATCATTGAAACAATTAAATGTTGGATTTGACACTCGAATTTGTGATAGATTAGTATTTGTTGTTGAATTTTCATTTTTTAAATTACACGAAAATTGTTGATCATTATTTTTTTCTTTATTGATTGAGTAATTATTAGTTACTTGTAACTAAAATTTGTTTTGTTTTAAATTTCACTGTTTTTCTTCGCTAAATAGTTATTAAATTAATTTATAAGAAAATTGTTAATTAAATAGTCTTTGCTTTAATTGATTTAAAGAAAAGTATAAATTTTTATAAATATATTTCTTCGAATTATTTTAAAAGTTATGTTTTGTTAAACTTTTAAATTATTATCTTGGACTTTACACGGTTAAAGGTAAATTTTTTTATTATTTTTAAAGTTTTCTCGTGTAGAAAAAAGTTTATGTACATTTTTTCTTACTCTTACATAATTTTTACGGCATTTTAATTCAATACCTATCAAAGTAGATAAATTCTTGTAAGAAATTTTATTTCTTAGTTAACTTATTTCTCTTATATTTTTTTACCTTGCATAATTTTTTGCAACGTTTCAATTTAAAGTCTCAAAAATTATATTTCATTATTCATTAAAAATTAAAATAATTCTATAAAACTATGTGACAAAAATTAATTTATTATTATTAAGTGTAAATAATGTTTTTAAAAATAATTTCATTAAATGTGGGATCAAATTAAATAATTTATGCTGGATAAATTAAAATATTCTTTCGTTATGAAAGAAAATTATAAAATCAAATCCATGTAGGTTTTTTTTATAAATTTCTTTTCTGTAATTATAATTATTAATAACATATTTTGTTTGTTTTTTTTATCGAAGCAGGGAGTTTGTAATAATATCTATAAAAATAATAATAATAACTGTAATAATAATAATAATAATAATAATAATAATAATAATAATAATAATAATGATAATATGTTTCGTGCCCTGATGCATAGAATTATTTCCTATGCCGGTGCTAATTAACTTTTGTGTAGTTATCATTTGAATTTATTATTCAATAGTCTACAATGTAGACGGTTTAAAAAAGATTATAAAAATAATTATTCACGTGCAATATCTTTCGTAGTCAATGATGTAACAACACGAGAGTAAAAATGGAAGATTATAATAAGTAATAAATAAATAAATAAAGAGAAAAAAAAAAAAATTGTAGATATCCTTTTTAGATAGGCGACAAAATATTTGTATTTATATTTATGTATTTGTATCACTAAAAAAAATTGTAAGAACAATTAAAAGAAGAAATACATTTAGTATCGCTAATAATTAGAATTTTTATATTTTATCTTGTCTTAACATAATTAAATATCAAAAAGACTATAAATAATGAAGAAATAAAAGGGACCGTAACAAACAATATCGTTTTATTTTTAAAAACTGATAATTAAAATAA